TACTGCAGAATAGCAAATGCTGACTCAGTTATAATTTCTACCTGTATTGTTCACAGTAAGGAATACATTTTATATTATGATTCACTGTGTCCATACACAACCTTAGAAATTTATATACACTTTTTTTTTTGCCACTCATGGGGCAATTTCAGGGCCTGGGCACTGTCCCTGAGCTTCTTTTGTGCAAGGCTAGCGCTCTACCATCTGAGCCATAGCACCACTTCTAGCTTTTTCTGTTTATGTGGTACTGAGGAATCAAACCCAGGGTTTCGTGCATGCTAGGCAAGGATTCTACTACTGAGCCACATTCCCAGCCCTACATAAAAAACAATTTTTTTAAGTCAAGCATTGCACATGAAGAAACCTACCTTTACTGCATATAACCTATACCAGGATTTTTTCCTTTGCTATCTTATCTTTAAAAGATATTGGTAATAGTCAACTAAATTGATTTCATAGCCCACAGGTGAAAAAAAAAAAAGCCCTTGATTCTTAGATGACCAACAATTCTTCAGCTTTCTTTATTCAGTGAATGCTTTCAAATACCTAGATTTGAGGTAAGGTATTATAAAGGATTGTAAGACTCAGAACACTGAATCTACCCTAACCATAATAAAATGATCTTCATTATAGTTCCAGAGTCCTACAGCACCTAGAAAAGCTTCTCCTGCTTTGCCCGCTCTCCTGGCAAGGCCAACCCACTGCTGGAGGATCTGTCGTCAACCAGGCCTTCTTGTCTAAGGCACAGGTCTGGTAACTCTGGCAGAGGCTTGATGCTGCGCTTCTCCAGCTGGAACATCAGGCCCCATGGTCCTCCTCACAGAACCCAAGTGCCAGGTCCCACGCACATCACCATGAGCCTACAATAGCCTAGTGTTCTTTATGTTCAAAACACTCAACCGCACACACCCATCTCCATTCGCCAGCTTCCTGAGGGGTACATGGTGGAGGACTAGTGTGCCAGAGCACAATAATGAGCTTGGAAGAATTGCCTACAGCATGCCAGGAACCTTTAGATCATATCCCCCCCCCCCTCCCCTTTCTCTCTCTCTCTCCCCTCCCCCACCTTGTCCTGGGGCTTGAAGCCTGAGCTTCTTGTGGTCTGGGCTAGCACTCTATCACTTGAGCCACAGCTCTGCTTTTGGTGTTTTTGGAAGTGTTTTTGGACATAAGAGTCTCAAGGACTTCTTGCCTGGCCTGGTTTCAAACCGTGATCCTTAGATCTCAGCCTCTTGAGTAGTTAGGATTACAGGTATAAGCCCAACTAGACCATATTTTTTTTATAACACCTTTCCAGAAAGAAGGTCAACATCTCAACCACGCTGAAGACCACAACCCCTTTTCCCCAGTCACTCAGCAAGAAGAAGCTAGGTAACTTTTATTACTATGCCAAATATTATGCCATTATTTCCAAAAACAGCTATCATACTCCATCGTGGGCCGATGTGATTTCATATTTTACTCTGTTCTCAAAAGATCTTGGCTATTTCTTCATTTTTATTCTGAGTTATCATTGCCAAAGAATTGAAATTCAAGTGTACTCTCCTACATTCTCATTTCTTTCCCAAGAATACTGAGTAAACATTTCATTTTCATTTTTAAAATGTTTAAATAGTTGAACAAAGGGGTTTCGACTCAACATGTCAGTGTACAACTCCATTTCACTTCATCTGTACACAGCCATGACCATGGCAGAGGTAAAGGGCAGGCCAGACACCATGGCTGACATGCATGATCCAAGCTACTTGAGAGGTAGAATTAGCAAGATTCTATCTCAACCAGTAAGATGAGCTGCAATGTGTCAGTAATCCTAGCTATACCAGAGGCTATAGGTAGGTCTGAACAAACCCTGGACAGAAAAACAATCTTTATCATAGCTGGAGGCGTGATTCAAGTGGTAGAGCTCCTACCTGGCAAGCACTAGATTCTGCATCATAAGGGTCTTAGAGAGTCTTTTATTGATAGAAAAGCCAAGAAGCAGTATAAACCATATAAACCACAAGGCCCAGTCCTCATTTTTGTTTTGTTTTTTTTTGCCAGACCTGGGGCTTGAACTCAGGGCCTGGGTACTGTCCCTGAGCTTTTGCTCAAGGATAGCACTCTACCTACCACTAGAGCCACAGCTCCACTTCCAGCTTTTTCTGTTTATGTGGTGTTAAGGAATCAAACCCAGGGCTTCATGCATGCTAGGCAAGCACTCTACCACTGAGCCACATTCCCAGCTCATAATTCTTAAGAAATCACCTCTCCCTCCCTTATTTAGCACAATTGTACAAAGGAGTTCCACTGTGGTATTTCAGCGCACACCATAACGTACTTTGATTAAGTTCACCACCTCGACTGAGAGACATCTTGGTTTGCATGAGAAATCTGTCATGTTGTACGTTTGTAACTTGTTTATTTTTATCCTTGTCACCATCTACTCAGGGTGGAGTTAGGGCCTATCAGGTAACAGAACAGCAGCTGAACACAGGCTAGATGTTTATCTTCTGATGGAAAGTCCAGACTTTGTTAGGACTCTAGGCAAATCATTTAACCCTTCTCAACGGACTTTTCTCCTCTTTCTTACATTTAGCTAATGACCTCAGAGACATCTTGTTAGGGTAGAATGAACATTTTGTTTGAAGTACAGCTGGGCATGGTGGTGCCCACTTGTAATTCTTACTCTAAGGAGGAGGCTGAGGCAGGAGGAACAGAAGTTTGAGGCCAGCTTGAGCCACATAGCAAGACATTGTCTCAAATAAATAAACCATAAATGAAAGTATACAGCTGTACTAAAACAAAGGTACCACTGTTAGCTGGATCCATAGCACGGGGAAAGTACCTAGTTTGTATGAGGCAATACCCTGTCTCTAAATAGTGGCTCAGAATAAGTGGGAAAATAAAAGTTATAAAACGGTAGTACAGGAGAAAGCACACAGGCCATAATTAATGGCTAGATAAGAACTATAGGTTTCCTGTGACTATAACCATGGTCTTTGAAAGCTTTAGAAGGGCTTGTGAGGACAGAAACACGCATGGGCATGTGTGAAGGCCAGGGGTGGCCACAAGGGAAAGTTGGGAATGGAGTCTTAGGTGTAGGCCAGCTACAAAGAAATGCCTTCAGGGTATACTGGCCCAGTGGAGAAGATGGCCCCGCCCACAGCCTTGTCTGATTGGTCCTGATGCTGTGTGGCACCACCATCCTTGTTATTTATGGCTGATTGCCTCAGCTAGGTAACAAAGGAAGCCACAGATAGCCTCTCACGGAGGCATATAAAATCTTCATGCCACTGGAGTGACTCACTGAGCCAATCACATCTTCTCCCCAAACAGGAGACACAGAAAAGTGTGCCAGCAACAGAGATGCAGAAAGACAAACACTGAGTGCACCCAGGGGGAGGCCCAAGCTGCAGAAACTATGGCCAAACAGAAGCCTAGAGAGAGAAAAAACATCTTCCACCCCAGTGGATGCAGGGCTGGGCTGGGGCTCTGTTGCTCCCTGCTTTGAGGATTCTGGCTTCTGAGAGCATCACTGGGAGCCTTTAGGTGACCTCTTGTTTCCGGACTTCCTCCTCCCCTGCAAATCTTTAAACCCCTTCATGAACCTCAGTCCTAGCTACCTATCAGCCTCACCTGAGGAACTTTTCAGACCACAGATTCTCAAGCTCACTCCTGGGCTCCTGAATTTGAACGCCTAAGCCTGGGTTAAGACAGGTGTTTTTAATTCCACGGCTGATTTTAATGCTTCCTCTCCCCCAGCCCAGAACCAGATTAAGGCAATCTGAACAGGCACTTTTTGCTTCCTGCAACCAGACAAAGCTTAATGGTCACAAAAGGGCTACAGATGTCAATCATTTACAATCATGCTTAAAACCATTCTTATTCGTACACAAAAGTGTATGTACCTGAGAAAAGCAAACTTCATAACAACCTAGCAACTCTGACTCCTTCCAACACCTTCTGAATCTTGGTTCCTATTCAAAAATGTTTTCATACAACACTTTGAAAAGCACTGTAGCCATCTTTTGAGGTCTTGCTAGATGTCAGGTGCAGTCTACTAGACTGTCAATAGCGGCTCATATACCATCCTCACAACCCTGCAGGGTAGACACCCATTATTCCTAACTTCAACATAATGAAATGTAAATCCAAAGAGTCTAAGCCCGAGGTCTAAACATATGTAAGGGATATAGGCAAAGAGGCAAACTCAACCATCTGACTACAAGCCTACTGAGTTTTCCATTATGTCCTCAGAATGCTTGCTTGTTTGGGCCTCACAATTATCTCCCCCAGGGAAAGTCAGAGCTTATCATATCCATATTTGAGATGGAAACTCAGGTTATCAAAATTTCTCTTGTCCAAATCACAAGCCAAGAGGACTTGAGCACATAGCTACTAAATCACACCGACCCTTTCTAAACAGCCTTGCCAATCCAATGCCATGGCTAGGCACTCCACTCTTAACCAAGGCAGGAAAGAAATTATCCTAAAATGAGGATACTTTTAAACGTGAGAAGTATTCCTCTTCAGTTTGTAAGCCTTTGCTTTCTACTACTTCAGGATATGGAGCCTACTAGGGTGAAAACTAGTTTCACAGCCCTTTTGCCACATGGCAATTACCATAACTACTAATTAAATCATATACATCCATTTAAAAACACGACTTGATGCAAAGTAGCATTTAACCATATTTCCTCAAAGTTATGACAGTGTCTGTATCTTTAAGCAACAAAAAGAGGTTCTTGCTGAAGTCTATTTATGCAGCTAAAAAAACTGGGAGAGGGGGTTAGTTTCCAAGTTTCCAAGGAGTTAAACATTTTTGTTGTCTCCATTGTGAATAAATAACATTCAGGCTCTTCCAGAGAATTTCCAATCATAGTAATCCTAAACATTTTATTTTTTGTTTATAGAAAAAATACCCCAATATATATACCAGTCTTTATCCAAATGGGTCACAGAACAAATTTTGCTTATCTCACTTTGATAAAAACTCACAGATTCACAGTGAAGAATCTTACCTAAAAATGATGACAACAGGGCTAAGAGAGTGTTGGTATCTTCATCTCCAAAACACGAGGAAGCATTTGTGATGTTCTCACTGAAATTCCATAGAGTCTTGCAAACTAAGCAAGCCAGCTGCCAATCATTAGGACCAAAATCTCTTAAACAGTCCACTAACCTGAGTGAGAAAAAGGCAAATTGAAATATTACTCACTTGTACTCTGTCTTTTATTTTTGTATTTTTATAGCATGATGGTTGGTTATCCTTCCACAATATGTGTGAGGTATAACGGAACAATCATTTAAAATAATTTCCTATTTCCAACTTCAAGTGGCAAAATAACTCCTGAATTATTTTGTGTTCAATAGAATCTAAATTCCCTTTTTTTGTGTGCTAGACTAGGACTTTCCAAATGTTGAAATACCTTTGCTTAATTTGAATGAACTAAGGGGTGGGTCAAAATTCTCAGGAAAAACTATATCCTCTTGACTCAGTCAGGACACTGTGCCTTAAACTTACTTTTTAATTCCACCTCCTTCTTTCAGGATGACGCGTTTGTCCTTGTCCACGGTGAGATTTAGGAGAACACCACAGGCAGAAAAGCAGATGTCCTGATGCTTAGCGTCCAGCAGTGCGATCATGAACTTGTGTACTGCGAGGACAGAGAACAAATGCGGACCAGCCAAAGCTCTGAGGCAGGGGCCCCAGATGTATCTTGTTTCCCAAATGGCATATGGGACGTGGGAGGGAGTAGCTTACAAAGCTAGAAGCCTCATTGATGGACTTCACCCATCCTTCCTAGGTCTTTATCCCTCTTCCAGCAATCGGTGTCCCAACACCTATCTCCTAAGTGCCTAGTCTTGGCTTCCCACATCTTCTGCTCCAATATTATCACCAACTCCAGCAGTTCTGTCTCCAGAGCTGCAATAGAGACTCTGGGGGTGAAAAGAAGGAACACAGGAGATATTCATCCCTATTTCGGGTTGTTCTCAAGGGCCTTTGGAACTTCTGGAAACAACTCTTCAGTACATGCTGGTGTGTGGGAGGAGAGAGTCAGTTCCTGATGTAGTCTTACCTGAAGCCTCCCAGGCCTGGCTTGCCCCGGGGGGCAAGGCACCCCGGGGATCAGTTCCCTTCACTCCTAGGAAACAGACCTGGGAACCCTTTGCCCTGTTTTCTCATCCCCCACACCAGAGGATGGAGAATTAACTTAAGGTTTAAGAGAGAGGAAAAGAGGTGAGCTCCGCCTGTGCCTGAGGGTGATGGCTGCCAGGCTCTAGCCTCGGCCCTATTGATTGGGTTGGTCAAATGAGCTCAGCAAAGGCCACATTACATGCAAATATTCTGAACACTCTGAAGAACACATTCCAAAATGTTAGCAGTTCTCGCTGGGGCAGTGGGATCATGGCAGTTTGCTGCTGGGGTCATTGATCTTAAAACTATACTTGTCGGGCTGGGAATGTGGCTCAGTGGTAGAGCACTTGCCTTGCATGCCTGAGGCCCTGGGTTCGATTCCTCGGCACCACATAAGCAGAAAAAGAAAAAAAAGCCAGAAGTGGCGCTGTGGCTCAAGTGGTATAGTGTTAACCTTGAGCTGAAGAGCTGAGGGACAGCGCCCAGGCGCAGAGTTCAAGCCCCACGACTGGACCCAAAATAAAATAAAATAGAAGATCTCAAAAAAAAAAAAAAAAAAAAAAAAACTATACTTGTCATTGTTTTGGAAGTACTGGGGTTTGAATTCAGGGCCTCACACTCTAGGCTAGCAATGATACTGCTGAGCCACACCTCTAGCCCTGTTTGTCACTGGCTATTTTTAGGACAGAGTCTTGCCTCCTGCCTGGGGTCTGCCTGAGCCATGATCTGCCTACTTCCTGAAAGTAGAAATCACAGGCACACATTACTGCATCCATTTCCCTTCTGTTTCACAGACTTTACTGTGTAGGCTGGCCTGATACCATGATCCACCCAAACTGCAGCCCCCGTGTAGCTCGGTTTGACAGGCACACACCATAGCACCCCCACACCATGATTCCCCCATTCTCTTGTAGCTAGGATGATAGGCGTGAGCCACTGGCACCTGGCCAAAATTATTACTTTGACACAAAAGATGTGAGACATATCAAAAGTATGATTAATATAAACACTTGGGTGCATGCTGCCCACCTAAGTTAAGAAATAAATTATATTCAAAGCATCATGTTGTGCCTGACAGATATATACAATTCTTATTTGTCATTAAAATTAATAAGCAAAACCTTATGGATGTGCTTTACATCTTTGACAACCCTTCCAAAAATAAATTGTCTCAGACATACAGCATTCATTTCCAAACATCCTACATATACCAGCCAGGCGTCAGTGGCTCACACCTGTAATCCTAGCAACTCAGGAGTCTGAGATCTGAGGATCAAAGCCAGTCCAGGCAGGAAAGTCTGTGAGACTCATCTCCAATAAACTGCCAGGAAACCAGAAGTGGCACTGTGGCTCAAGTGGCAGAGCACTTGCCTTGAGCTGAAGAGCTCAAGCGTAGGCCCAGAGTTCAAGTCCCACAAACGAAAGACATAAGAAAAAAAGTACACCAGTGGCATCATTCTCTCTCTATTCTCCTATCTCTAGTTTTTTGCTCCCCCTGCACATTTAGGCTTGATCCATGTTGACATACAAACATCTAATTTATTTAAATTGCCATACAACATTTCGTTACACAAGCATACATATTTATACACCAAAATACATTACACATAATTATCATCTAGTCTGGTGGACACTTAGGTCATTTCCAATTCTTGCAATTACAAGCAAAGTCTGACAGACATTCTAGTATGTGTTGGAAAATGTCTCGAGTCCATTCTCCTGGGCAGAAATAATGAATGCAGATTATTTGTTTCCATTTAACACACACACACACACACACACACACACACACACCATTCCTCTACTCAAGGCCATACAGGAGGGAGGGGAACACTGCCTGCTCTACTTCAGGATCCTGAATTCTCATACCCAGAACAGAAAGTAAAAGCCTAACTTAGGTGAAACTACTGAGCCAATTATTACTATCAAGAAGTGCGTGCTTATGAATTTGCCATTAACTTACCATTGTTATGCACAATAAAGTTGCAGACGTCATGGTCCTGGGAGAGATTTCCAAACACACGCACAGCCTCCAGGATTCCGTCCATGTTGTTGCTCACAAGAAGCTTTAAGAGCACTCGATTGGGTAAGCAGAAAAGACAGTCAGTGCCAGTTAAGTTTTAAGTGAATGAACTTGGCCTCATATTAAATACTGACAACTTAAAAATTAAAAGATGATAATAAAATGCAAACTGAAAGGAACATAAACAACAACTAGTAAACTAATTTTTCCCATATTGTAATTTCCTAGAGAGAGACTACTCTCTCAGATATTTGTGGCACAAGTCAGGGGATAGAAATATATCCAGTTATGCATGTCAGTTAATAAAATCAAGTGCTGAAGCACTCAAGGACCCACACTAACTCTGAATCTTACATTCAGCAATATAGAGCTTTTTGTCGTGGATAATGGAATTCTTCACTTGGTAGAAGGACAAATTGTTGATCGTTGCTGTCGTATTGATCACCAGCTCCTCACAGTCATCAAGTGACTTGTATTCTGAAACACAAATGATCAGGGGGTCAGGGACATAATTCAGAAGAAGAACCAATGATACCAAATATCATTAATAGGGTCAGGCAAGATCTTGACCCAGGCAAGATCCCATGCAAAGGGATCGGGAGTACTGTTCGCCACTTTATTTCCTGGGACTCTGCCCACAGGAAAATGCACCATCCCTGGCTAGGGGAGACCTCACACTAAGTTACTCAGTCCCTGAAGTCAGGAGGTCTGGATGCTAGTGGCCCATTTCTGTAATCCTAGGTACTCAGGATGCTGAGATCAGAAGACTTTCAACTCCAGGCCTGCCCCTTGTATGAAACTAGAGTTCCTCAGGTAACAAGTAGAAGGACCATTAGCCATGATGGGGACTGTCTAGCTCCTACATTTTCTGATTTAATGGTCATTCTTTAGCCTTCTTTTTCTTCATCTTTCTTTTGCTTTTCATTAAGGGAGAGAGCCTTTGTGACAAATCTCATTCTAAGAAAACTCAGTCATTTGTTAAACCACAGAAGGCATAGTAGGGCCTTCAGCCTGTGGTCCCCTCATCCTCAGCAACCAAGACACTACAAAGCACACACTTCAGAAATATGGGGGAAATCCCAAAAGGAGATGAGGCCCTAGCTGCCTTCTTTGTAGCCTGAATACATAGAAAATGGAGACATAAATTATCATGGTTTTTGATATTCCTTAGCAAGGAAATACTCTGGGAGGCTCAAGATTTTAGGACCTATGAAGGAATGTCCCCTGTCTTGGGAAAGATAAGGTAAAAGAAGAGAAAGAGGACCCCGGATATATCTCTGCTTATTTGGACCTTGACCTTGAAGTAAGAACTCTGGTGCTTCCCCTCTTCATTCTGTGGCTTTGCTTAACTTACTTAACTTCCCTGGGCTTCAGCTTTCTTGATTGTAAAGCCGAGGTGATGTCTGAATGCTTGCTGAAGAATTGCTATAAACTTTACATGTGTTCATATTCAAAAAAGGACTTAAAATAGTGCATGGCACCCAGTGTGTGTTAGGGATTTGTTGAGTAAATAGATGAAACATCTAGAAGGGCAATTCCTGGGGGAGAGGGGTACTTCAGGAGAATGATCCAATGCCAGGAAGGTCTGCAGCCTGGGTTCCCTTATTTCCCAGTTAATAACACTAGATCTAGGGCTGTACATAGGGATTTGTTGCTTTGTCTTAGAAGAATTCATTACTAGCATACATACATACATACATAGCACTAGGGGGACTCCACCTCTCCTTGGACCACACATTTGAACAGCCAGAAATGGCATCACAGTTACTGAGTAGCCATCCTGAACAACACCGGGCACTTTACATGCATTCACCTGCACTAAAGTTAATTGCGAATCAGGCTTCACATGCATTTATAAGCATTTCAGTTCACAATAGTTATTCTCTAAATGTAATCTCAGACTGCCATCAAAATATACCATGAACTAAGTGGCTTGAGAAATTAATTTTTCCCACAGTTCTGGGGATAGGAAGTCCAAATCCAGGGTGGCAGCACAGTCAAGGCCTAGCATGGGCCTGCTTCCCTGACTTCCTGATGGCCCGACCTTTCTCCCCACCATATCCTCACATACACAGACAGATGGAAACCCAGGGTGTCTTCTCGGTATGAGGGGCCCACCTTGTAACCTTGTCTAGACCCAAAGGGCCCATCTCCAAAAATGATCATACTAGGAATTAGGGACTTTGACAGATGAATTACATTCACAGTGGTATCCTGACATCCCCGTTTTATAGAAGAGAACCACGACATAGAGATGAAATAATTCGCTGGTTTTCACTAATGCGGACATCTAAATCCAGGGCTGCCTGGGCTCCACTGTCCTCCTCTTCACATAGCACCCTGTGTAGGCCAAGACTCTAATTGCTGAGCTCCCATTAGAGCTCTTTGGATGATGATCTGTTTCCAACAAGTGGAGGAATACCATCCTGCCCGCTATCACTAACTCAGGGATGTGAGGGGCTCTGCCATTTGATCTGTTGTCCAGGCACAAATTTCTGATTCTGATTCAGCACTCTTGATGAGAAAGCTTGTTCCTGACTAGATAGGTTGATCATTCTGAAAATGAGACTGGTCTTAATCAGTAAGAGTGACCAGGAGAGGTTAGTCCTGGGGTATAAGCAACTCCTCTGGGAGGATATTAGAGGTGGGGTGAAAGGATAGGACCATGGGAAACCCTGTGACTGACTGTGAGCAGTCAGGCTGACCTCAGGTTGGTGGGCACAACAGGACTGTCCCAGAGTCAAAGGCCACAAGACTTTGGAGGGTTCAGAAAGCCCTCAGCATATGAGCCCCACAAAGGGAAGATGTCAAAGGTGACTCTAGGGAGGTAAAATCTTTCAAGAGACAGAACAGACAAGAGTTCACAATCTGCCAAGACAAGGAAGGTTCAGGAGTCCTGGGCTAGCCACAGAGAACATGTTCCCCACCATCACCTGCCTTGAAGCTTGGACATTATAGACTGAAGCATCCCCAAGGGAGAAGGCCCCACACCTGCCAGAGGGATGGATGAGTTACAACCTCTGAGGGCAGCCCCACGTATATGCATGGGTTTTGTTGCTGTCATTTCCTATGTTTGACACAGGTCTTTCTATAAAGTCAAGGTTGGCCATGAATTTGAGATCCTTTAGAAGACAGGGCTTTTAGAAATAGGTATGGTTAAATGAGGCCATAAAGACAGGAATTTAATTCACTAATCCTAGTGACTTGATAAGAGGCAGAGAAACGACTAAGGGATATAGCTCAGTGATGGTGCATTTGCCTAGCTTGTGCAAGGGCCTGGATCTGATCTCCAGTACTTGGGGGTGGAGTAAAGGGGGGAGGAGGGAGAGAGAGAGAGAGTTCCTATCCCAAGGGCTCCCACAAGGAAGGACATGAGGACTTGCAGCATATTGATCTTCACCTTTTCAGCCTCCAGATGTGTGAGAAATAAATTTCAGTTGTGATCTATGTATTTTGTTGTGGCAGTCCACGCCAACTACTAATACAGGGAGAAGGATGGAACGTGAAGGACTGGGAGGTGTTCCCAGATCATTTAAGAATTGAAAGAAGAAAAAAGAAATCAACTTTAATCATGTGGATTACCCAAAGAAAAATGTAGGGTTTTTAAAACCTTTTGTGGTTAGTTTGGCCAACTTTTGCCCATGTGATTGATAGGATTGTTTTGAGTTGAAATATAATTCACTACCCATAAAATTTACCCTTTGAAAGGGCACGGTTCCATGGACTTTAGTAATGATCTACATTCTTTATTATTTGTTTTTTTTTTCTTTTTAAAGGAACCTGGGTTATATTTGAGGTGGTTGTGAAACAGAAGAGGAATTCTCCTTTATGCAGCTAAGAACGTTTGTTATAGTTGGTCAAATTGTCCTACGCCCCAGCCACAGAACTGTCTTGGGGCCCTGGGATCTTACCCAGCATAGTCAGCAGCAGTTCCACGACTTGTTGGTTGGCAGCTAGCCCGGGGCCAATGCGAGGGTGAATGGCCATATTGGCAAGCACGCGGGTCAGCTTGATGAGCACATCCTCAGCCTCCGAGGGTGGCCCCTGTGGGGGGGGCTGCCCACCTCCAGCACACGCTGGCCTGGGGGATTGCAAATCCAATTGATAGAACATCTGGAACAATGATAACAGAGTTTGGATGCTCCCTTTCTCTTTGAAAAAGTGTTCCCGAGCCTGGTTATTTTTTGCTGTCAGGTTGCCAAGAATAAAAACAATCCGAATGACTAAATCCTGCAAGAAGTGAAAGATTGAAAAAGAAGAAGAAGAAGAAAAGAGTTATAAGTGCAAAGAGGCTGGAGCAAGTACTTGGAAAGAATACAGTTACACTTAATTTATTTGTCATTTAATTGAGAGTAAAATGGAACACATCTGGCTTCTACCAATGCATACAGTGTTTGATTCCCAAGATGGGCACATATTGAAAGAGGAGATTAAATGCAGTTGGGGGAATCTGAAACAGTAACTGATTGATGTGATCAGCGAAGTCTTTTAACTTCAGATCTTCCATTTGAAATTCTGGGTGGCCTTTCTTACTATTTTTTTTTTTAATTCCCAAGAATAACTAGTTGAGTGGTCTCAATGTGTTATGTAAATTTAAATTTTGACACTAACAGATTTCTTAAGTATCCATATCTTTTCCTCAAAAGCTACTTTCTATTGAAGTATTATGTCTAAAAATCAGATATTTCCCAATAGTGGGTTGCATTACAGTAGGGTTTCTTGATTTCAACACCACTGACTTTTATAGCTTGAAAACTCTTGTTTTTTTGTTTGCTTGAGACAGGCTCCCCTTATGAAGCCCAACCTCCCAAGTGTGAGCATTAGAGGCATGACCCATCACATCTGGCTCAGCTAATTCTTTGTTGTAGATAGCTGTCTTGTGTACTATACCATCCAGGGCCTTTACCTATTGGAGTCCAGTAGCATCTCTCCAGATGTCTAAATCTCTCCTAGGGTAATAATTCCCTAGCTGAGCACGACTGTTCCATACCAACACGACATGAAAACAGCAGCAGTCAGTTTTGTTTTTTTTTTTTATCTGAGTGATGTGTACAAGACCAATCTTTGCTACAGTGTGCATCTGAGATTTTTGCATTTCTCTGTACATAATATTTCACAGTAAAATTAGTGTTTTTTGTTTTTGTTTGCTTGTTTTGCCAGTTCTGGGGCTTGAACTCTGGGCCCGGGTGCTGTCCCATAGCCTCTTTGTGTTCAGGTAAAGAATAGCACTCTACCACTTGAACCACAGTGCCACTTCCAGCTTTTTCTGAGTCATTTATTGGAGATAGAGTCTCATGGACTTTCCTGCCCAACCTGGCTTTGAACTGTGATTCTCAGATCTCAGCCTTCTGGGTAGCTAGGATTATAGGCATGAGCCAATGATTTAAAAATATTTTTTAAAACCCAAGCTGAGAGCATTTCTAAAATTAAAAACATGAAGACAATTAGGTTCTTCACTGGACAACAGAGCACAGACATGGGTTGAGATGAGTCTTACAATGGTGGATTAATTCACCTGGGAGGAGATGTTAAAGGAATATTCACTGAGAGCCACAACCCGCCTGGGTGCTGGTGTTTGTCATGCTAGGTACTGTGCCCTTTTACAGACAAGAAAGTGGGTCCCAAGAAAGCTGTTCAGGTCATATGGCGGGTGCAGGTGGAGGAGGACTTGAACCCAGGATTGCCAAGACTCTGGAGTCCTTTCTACACCAGGCTTGGCCTCCCACATAGAGTATCATTTAGCTGGTCTCCTCTTCTGGCTCTCTTGCTTGCTTGAAGAACAGCTAAGGAATTGTCTTCTTTTAAAATACAAATGTGCTACCCAAAGGAATTACCATGGACTTAAGTCTGTTGATCAGATCAATAGTCAGGAGCAGCCTCAAGGAGAGAAGGGCAAAGTACTGGGGACATTTTCATCTAGGTACAGCAGGAGCAGAGGGCCCATTGCAAGGTATTCAGTGTGGAAAGAAACTATGGAGGCTTAAGGGTAAAGGACGACTTTTAGCTTTGCCTAGGACTTCTCTGCCAATACCAACTTGTTCCTGCTTGTTCGTAAAAGAAATTTTCCCTGACACTCACTGGCATGGAAGCATCGAGGCTGCTGTGTGTGCAGCTGGGAGCCATTTGCCAACATTTACATAGGACAGAGCCTCCCACCATGGCAAGAACTGGAGCCAGGCCAAGAGAAACTGTTTTCCAGAACAGGGCATCTCGAAGCCTTCTGCCAAACAATCCAGCTAGGAAAACCTGCTCCTTACTCACCCCACACCCCAGAAAGAGCAATTGCCTAGATAATGCTTGGGTCAGGGAAGGAGTTAGGGGTGACACACATATAAACTAGGAAGAGACACAGTGTGCAGAGGAGTTAACAATGTATTTTAGGAGACAGGGCTAACCTCTGTGAAGAAATAGCCAAGACTGAACTGGTTCCCCACAGAACAAGACAGCAAAGAGGATTAGGCATTCCAGCGGAAGAGCCTGGTAGTCTGGATTCCCATAAGGGATTTAGCTTCTCTGGGCTTTTAAGAACTCACTTGCAAAAAGGGGAAAATACTGTATTGTGAGGTTGAGTGAGGAAAAAATAAAAGACAATGCTCAGGTTGTATTGTGAAATGATTCAGGCATTGCATCCAGCCTTTTTCATGCATTGTCAACAAAACGTTACTAATAGCTAATGGAACAGTCTTAGAAAAATACAGAAAAAGGGGTGCTCAGTGAGCAGAAAAGGATGAGCATAGTTATCAAGCATGAACTTAAGCTAGGTGCCAGTGGCTCATGCCTGTAATCCTCAGGAGGCTGAGATCTGAGGATCAAGATCTGAAGCCAGCCAGGAAAATCTGTGAGATTCTTATCTCCAACTAATCACCCCAAAGCTGGAAATGGAGCTGTAGTTTGAATGGTAGAACGTCACCCTTGAGTTTAAAAAAAAAAAAGCTAAAGGATAGCATCTAGGCCCTGAATTCAAGACCCAGCATACTCTCTCTCTCTTCTTTTCTCTCTCTCGCTCTCTCTCACACACACCACACACACACACACACACACACACACACACACACACACACACACACACACACACAAAATGACAAGTTCATAATTGGAAACAAAGTGCGGAAGGACTCACTAGAAGATATATTTAGGATAATCTTCCTAAGCCTTGTGGTCACCTTGTCCTTATTTGATCACATGGACTCTTCCCCAAAGAACTTGTGGCCTATAAGCCTTAAATCCAAAACAGCACACACACAGTTTATGATACTCAAATCCCATTTCACAGAAAACCAATAGTTACTTTCCCAAAGCAAAGACCCTGCCATGGGCTCTGGAAGGAGGAAAACTTGAAGGCAGTTCACCCAAGTCAGACCTAACAGAAAAGCAACTTTCCAACAGGACAGAGGATTTATAAGAACTAAGCTCCTAATGGAAAATTCTATCTCACATTTTTCCTTCCTCCCTTCCTTCCTTCCTTCCTTCCTTCCTTCCTTCCTTCCTTCCTTCCTCCCTCCCTCCCTCCTTCTTTCCTTCCTTCCTTCCTTCCTTCCTTCCTTCCTTCCTTCCTTCCTTCCTTCCTTCCTTCCTTCCTTCCTTCCTTCCTTCCTTCCTTTTACTTTCTTTCTACAAGTTCTGGGGTTTGAACTTGGGACTTCACACTTGCTAGGCAGGTATTCTACTATTTGAGCACCTCCTCCAGCCCTTTTTGTTTGGTTGTTTTTGAAACAGGGTCTAACCTAGACAGTGATCCTTCCACTTACACTCTGGCCAGAGTTGGGATAATAGGCATGTGCTACCATGCCTAGTTGGTTTCTGATGAGAAGGAGGGGCTCTAAGGCTATCCTGGAATTTTGATCCTCTGGATCTTACCTTCCCAGCTGGGATGAGCTCTGTCAGTCACCATGCTCTGTTATTGGTAGAGAGAGGAGTCTCATGAACTTTTTCTCAGACTGGACCTGAACCACATTCCAAAAGTCAGATCACCAAAATTCACATTCCTACCGGCATCAGTCTCCTAAGTAGCTGGGATTACAGGCATAATCTACCATTCCCAGCTCTGTTCATGTTTTCTGAGGACTATAAGCAAAGTTTTGTGCAAACTTTGGTGTTTTTTTCATTTAGACACCCTATACCAGACTACTTCTGGAAACTGTTCATAGTTATTAGTAATAGTAATATCATCTAACACCGAGAATGTAGCAATATGGCAGCACTGTTCTAAGGCTTTGCATGCACATATTAACTAATTCACTAAAAGGAAAGACAACTTGCACTCTGACATCTGAACACCACCATTGCCAACATCCAAAGCCAAACAGCACATCTGATGGCACTTTTAGGTTAACAGGTTTGTGACTTCACTGCATTCCCTACATTGTGGGGATTTCACTTTCACAAAAGGCAGGAAAGCCATTGGGAGTGATTTTAATTGCCTTCTGAAGGAATTTTGTAAATAGCCAACAGAACTGATCAGTTTACCCCATTCGGAAGGATGCTGGGCTATTTTGCTTTTCTCTTAGTAAACCCAGCAGACTCCTCCAGCCCTGAACCTCCTCCTTCTGCACTGTTGATCTGCCTGAGTCTGGGGACTTTTCCCTGGCTTTAGGAAGAAGCAGGTTTTCTTAGTGGTCACTGTTCTTCAGTTCTCCTCTACCCACTGTCATGTGTGGTCTAATCAGGGAAGACTAAGTGCTTACTTTTCTTTCCCTGAAAGTTCTCTCAGGCTTGTCCACATGTCTGATTCTTTGTCACATCTCTGTGGTTCCTTTGTGGTAGTGTAACTAAGCCTAAAGTGGGGGTGGGGAGGAGGAGTCTGGGCTGTAGGGCAGGAAGAGTTAACACTGTCACCATACCTCCCTCTCCCTGCCTTCAGATGGAGAAAGGAGGGGGTGGTTCCTGGCAGCAGCCGTGCCAACTGAAGGATGGCATGCGAAATCAACAAATGGAAATGGCAGATTGCACTGTTCGCAGCGCCCAGCTTCCAGCAACTGCTCTGCTCACTGTGTCTGTCCTCTTCTTCGGGGTTGGCTAAGGCCTCTTTTCTCTCTCCCTTCTCATTCTCCACAGATCTGGGGAGTGTGAAATGGCCCAAAATAGAAGAGATGGTGTTCCTTTGTTCCCTTGCATGTGCTCGCCTTGGCTCACCTGGAATTCTGAGGCAGGAGGCTGGGCAAAGGGGCTGTGCAAGGCAGGCACCTCACCCCAGGTGGCCTTGGCTTCCACTCCTGAACAAAGTGTCCCCA